ATACCAAATACCTATGCACTTCACGCTAACTCTATTTTTTTATTTATTTTACTGATACCTAAATGCAGCTCCGGTTCTTAATGTTGCTCTGGCTTGGTTTTCATGGGGATTAATGTTAAAACCTATAATGATGGCTTCATTAATGACCTAAATTAATGTTCGTTGTTATTCCGAGACAGATAATTCTTAGACGAAAAAAAAGAAAAAAAAATCTGTTCTGTTTATACCTATCATGTCTTAATTTTGTGTCTAAAAGTTTTTTATTTTTTTTTTATTTACGTCAATTAATAAATAGACTTATAAATGAATTAAAGGAATTGCTGAATAAACACACAAAAACATATTAATAGATAGGTTGAATAAGTAGATTCATTGGTTAATGAAGAGATAAATAAAAAGAGATAAAAAAGAAAAAGATAGATAAAAACACAGATAAATAAGATAAACTTGAACAAATAAATCAGACAAATGAATGAACTTGTAATTTAAATAAACACATGGAGATATATCAATAAGTGGATGATTAAAGAGTTTAGATAAACAGATAAAAAAATAATGGCTAAGATAATCAATCTTCCAAGCAACCCCTAAAGAAATAATAAGTAAACAAACAAACAAAAAAACACGAGCAAAAAAAAAACATTGAGAAACAAAAGAACAAAAAAACATGAATAAACAAAAACAAAACCCACACAAACCAAAAAAAAACATTAATAAACAAAAAACACACACACAAAAGAAAACATTAATAAACAAAAAACAAAAAACAAGCAAAAAAACATTAATAAACAAAAAACACAAAAAATAATAATCATAAACAAAAAATACAAAAACAAAACAAAACAAAAAACACAAAAAACAAAAAAACAAAATAATAAAAAAACAAAAACTAACTACATCCGTAATCCTCCAGCTCGACACGAAGGGCTAGCCCAATTTATCGGCAGTGACCCTCTTCGTCTGCTGCCTGCCCTGACCTCACTTTTCATTCACAGTCGACTGACCCCGACGAAGTTTCGAGAAGTTTCCTGGCTGAGGGAGGCGCCAGATTGAAGGACCGAGCGAGCTTTACAGGGTCTATAAGGGTCTGTTTTCTCTCCCTATTTCGTTAATGTGTATGTATCTGGTGGTTAATAGGTATGGGTCGTAAGATTGGAGCCTAGTAAAGGAATTGGGGTAAGTGGTTGATGTATAAATGGCGTATGGTAAAGGAGATTTTCAAGACGGGTGGATGTGGGTTATAAGATATTGTACTTAGATTTATTTTTAAAGAATGACTGATTTTAAAAAACTGATGGACTTATATGTTATAAAGTACGTGCTTCAACTGATTTTTAAAAAATGATGAACTTATATGTTATAAAGTACGTAATTAAACCGATCTTTTTAAAGTATGTATTTATATGTTATAGTATACTTAACTCATTTATTTTCTTAAAATGATGAACTTGTAAGTTATAAAGTACGTACTTAAACTGACTTCAATAAGCTGACGAACTTATATTATACAGTGAACTGATTTTATAAACCGGTAAACTTACATTCTAAATAAACTGATTAACCGATGTAAAAAATAAGTACAATAAACTGATTTATTACGTCTAAGGACAAATCTACGTACGAAAAAGATTCTATACCAAACACTTAACTAACGATTGAGACAAGAATTAACATAAAGCATACCTGTGAATATAAGCAACATATACTTAATACAAACTGAGTATTTAGGATACCAAATTGCATACAAAACATTTGCCTCGTATTTAACAGCGTAAAAAATATATATCATAATATTAACACCTTTTTCGGGAAAATCAACCCAGGGATCAAATAGATGGCGTTTCATACTCGTGGATTTATTAGCTTAATCCAAGTTAATTCACCAAGTATGGCTGATAACGTATCTTTTTCTATAGCATTTAACACCATAAACTTATGAAGAAAGGGATGAATACGGTGCCTTTAATTTGGATATCTATCTATTTTTTTTAACATTTTAAAAAAGTTGATGAATATGTAGGCCTACTTTTCCTTTCTGTGGATTTGACACCGTAAGGATAACTACATACTTTTTCTCTAGATCTGACACCTACAACAGTATGAATGAATATTTATCTTTCCCGTGGATTTAGCCTTTACTTTACTTAGATAAATGGATATCTGCCATTTAGCCTTTACCAGTAGATAAATAGATATCTACCCTTTGATGTAGATATGACACCTTTAATCTTGGATAAATCTTGACCCCCTTCCCCCCGCAGAATCGACGCCTTCACCCATTAAAACAATTTATCCAGGGAAGATCTTAGAGCCATTACCCATTAAAAAACCTTATTATAACTATTATTACCCATTAAAAAGCCTTATTATAACTATTATTACCCATTAAAACAACTTTATTATTATATTACTCATTAAATCATTTTGTCCAGAGAAGATCCCATTGCTATTATCCATTAAAACACTTTATTATTATCTTTACCCATTAAATCTACTTATA